TCTATATGCCCATCCAGTCCCACGTGGACTTACATGGAAAGCAGCAGAGAGCTTCCTCAAAAAACCTGCTGCAGCACTTTCACTATTCCCTCTCTGTAGTTTGCCTTCTTCAGTGGTATGTTCTTCCTCTCCTGTGCGTTCCTTCAGGATAGTCACTGTTTTCGTCCCTTCCAGTTCCTCCTCTTCTCTTTCATTGACCTTCCTCTGCCTTTGTTCCCACCCCTTCTCTATTGCACACTACTGGCCCTGCTTTAGCCAGGACTGAGGCTAACAGAATCAGCCAACAGATGCAGAAGTTTATGCAGTAGTTTGCTCACCAGGGCGCAAAGGAAGGCCTGGTATCATTGCTCAGACCAGCATGCACATACTCTGCTGTGGCGGTGACAGGACATGGGGCATGGTCCCCAACAGCTGTTGGAGCAACTGTCTCTGCAATAGTGGAGGCTTTGGCTGAGACGGAGCTACAAGACGAGGATGCAGCCCTGCAAATCTTCGGCTGCAGGGAGCCTCTGGGGCTGGGGCTGATGATCTCCCTACCTGAAAGAGGTGGGCTGTGGTGGAGGAGCTTGGCTGCCAAGTCACAGAGCTGCAGGAGGAGGTCGGCAGAGTGCCCAGCGTCACACAGGACAGGAAACGGATTGACTTAATCTTCCATGAGGCTCTGCAGCTTCAGGAGCCCAAACATCAAATCGCAGCGGAGGGGCAGGCAGAGTCTGTGCCTATCAGTCCAGAAGGTGGAAGTCACCGTGGAAGATGGGTGCTGGTGCCTTCTGGCCCCAGGAGGAAGACATTTGCTGCACCCAGAGCCTTGCAACTTTGGGATAGGTTCATGGCCCTCATAGCCCTCATGGAGCTGAGAGCATTGTCTGACAGAGCATGGGTGCCAGCTGAGCTGCAGCCAGCTACGAGCACCTGGAGGAAGTAACGAGTAGTAGCAGGGAGGACTCCTTGATGAGGCGGATGAAGGCCCCTATCTGCCCCCCTGACCTGCCATCTAGGGAGGTTTGATGCTTGCTGGGGGCTCACATTCAGGATATTGTGTAAGGGCTGCTGAAGCTTGACCAGTCCTCAGACTGGTGTGCTTCTGTGTGGGCCCCAATGATACTGCCAGGGGAGACCTGGATACCATCAGATGTGACTACATGGCCCTGGGGATAGCATTCAAAGGCATGGGGGCCCAAGTGGTGACTCCTTAATCCTCATGGCGAGGGGAAAGGGACTAAGGAGGACAGGACAGATCCTGTGGGCCAACATCTGGTTGAATAGCTGGTGTTGCCAACAGGGTTTTTGTTTCCATGACCACAAAACCCTCTTCAAGGGCCAATAACAGAAGAGACCTCTTAATCAACCAACCAGATCTGAAGTGGAATCATCTCAAACATATACAAGTAAATAAGGAATTGCCTATGGGGCTACATTATGAGGAAAGCTCTCCTGCCCGTTCTAGGAAGACAGCATGCCGAGGTCCCTCTCCGAAGTGCCTGAACACTAATGCATGCATCATGGGGAGCAAACAGGAGGAAATAGAGGTCTGTACAATTATAGGGCTACGATTTCATTGGGATCAGGGAGACGTGGTGGGATAGCTCGCACAACTAGAGTGCTACAATGGATGGATACAGGCTCTTCAGGAAGGGCAGGATGGAACGGAGAGGAGTGGGAGTTACCCTTTATGTCAGAGAGCAGTAGGAATGCATGGAGCTCTTCCTGGAGATGGGCGAGGGGCCCCCTGAAAGCCTGTGGGCCAGGATTAGCAGGCAGAGCAAAATGGGTGACATTGTAGTGGGTGCATGCTGTAGACTACCTGATCTGGAAAAAAAAAACAGATGATGCCTTATTCAGACGACTGGAAGAAGTCTCACATGAGGCCTTGACCCTAATGGGGGACTTTAACCACCCTGATATCTGTTGGAGGGACAACACAGCAGGGCACAAGCAATCCAGGAGGCTTCAAGAGTGCATCAGTGGCAACTTCCTAACATGAGATCAAGGAGCTGATGAGGAGAGGCACTCTGCCAAACTTCATATTTACCAACAAGGAAGAACGGCTCGGATATATGAAAGCTGGTGGCAGCCTTGGTGGCAGCAAACACAAAACAGGAGAGTTCAGAATCCTGCAAGGAGGGAGCAAAAAGCAGGATCACAACCCTGGATTACAGGTCACGAGGGCCTCTTCAGAAACCTGTTTAGAAGAATGCCATGGGATACAACCCTGGAGAAAGGGAGGGGTCCAGAAGATCCAGGTGATTTTCAAGGATCACCTCCTCCAAGCTCAAGAGCTGTGCATTCCAACAAACTGGAAGTCAGTCAAAGGCAGCAGCAGGCCTGCATTCATGAACAAGGAACTTCTGACTAAAATATAAAAAAGAAATGTACAGGAGGTGGAAGCAGGGAGAGGTGATCCTGGAGGACTGTAGAGACACTGTCTAAGCGTGCAGGGTTGGGATTAGGAGAGCTAAAGCCCACCTAGAGCTGAAACTGGCAAGGGACATTAATGGCAACAAGAAAGCCTTCTACAAACACATCAGCTGCAAGAGGAAAGCTAGAAAAAATGTGGGCCTACTGCTAAATAGGACAAGGCCTGTGGTGGCAAAGGACATCGAAGCCAGAAGTCCTGAATGCCTTCTTTGCCCCAGCCTTTGCTGGTGTAAAGGAATCCCAAGCCCCAGAGAGCAATGAAGCCTTAGCCTGGTGGATGATCACGTTGGAAAACACTTAAACAAGTAACATGCACAAGTCAATGGACCATGACAGGGTGCACCCACGAGTACTGAGGGAACTGGCCAACGTCATTGAGAAGCCACTTTGGATTATCTTTGAAAGATCATGGTAACTAGGAGAGATTCCTGAGGCCTGGAAGAGCGCAAATGTCACTTCTATCTTCAAGAAGGGCAAGAAGCAGGATGTGAGGAACTGCAGGCTGGTCAGCCCCACCTCAGTCCCTAGGAAGGAGATGGAGCAACTAATCTTGGGTACTAGATACTGTTTCCAGATATGTTAAAGACAAGAAGATGATCTGGAGTAGTCAGCACGGATTTATGAAACAGAAGTCATGTATAACCCACATGATAACCTTCTGTGATGAAGCTTGACAACCGAGGGAGAAGCAGTGGATGTTGTAGTTTACCTTGGTTTCAGCAAGGCTTTTGACGCTGTCTCCCATAATATCCTTATAGACAAGCTGATGAAATAAAAGCTAGTTAAGAGCATAGTGAGGGGCATTGAGAACCAGCTGAATGGCTGAGTTCAGAAGATTGTGATCAGTGGCGCAAAGTCCATTTGGAGGCCAGGCACCAGTGGTGTAGCTCAGGGGTCAATACTGGATTCGATGCTGTTTAATCTCTTCATTAAAATGGACAATGGGATCAAGCGCACCCTTTTTGCTGATGATACAAAACTGAGAGGAGTGGCTGATACACCAGGGGGCTATGCTGCCATTCAGAGGGACCTCAATAGACTGGAGAGGTGGGCCAACAGGAACGTCATGAAGTTCAACAAAGGGAAGTCCTGCACCTGGCGAGTACAGGCACCAGTACAGGCTAGGGGCTGACCTGCTGGATGGAAAGCAGCTCTGCAGAAAAGGACCTGAGGGTCCTGGTGGACACAAGTTGACCACGAGCCAGCAGTGTGCCCTGTTGGCAAAGGCGGCCAACAGCCTCCTGGGCTGCATTAGAGATGGCATTGCCTGCAGGTCGAAGGAGGTGATCTTCCCTTTTACTCAGCCTTGTCTGGAGTGCTGGGCCCTGAGCTCACCCGAACAAGAGAGACATGGACATACTGAAGCAGGTACACTGAGGCACCACTAAGATGGTGAAGGGACGAGCGCATCTGTCATATGAAGAGAGCCCGAGAGAGCTGGGACTGTTCAGCCTGGAGAAGAGAAGGCTCCGAGGGAATCTTAAGACTATGTATAAATATCTGATGTGAGGGTGCAAAGAAGATGAAGCCAAGCTCTTCTCAGGGATGCCCAGTGACAGGACAAGAGGCAACGGGCGCAAGCAGAAACACAGGAAGTTCTATCTGAACATAAGAAAACACTTTCTTACTGTGAGGGTAACTGAGCAGTGGAATAGGTTGTCCAGAGAAGTTACAGTGTCTCCATCCTTGGAGATATTCAAAACCCCAGGTGGACACCATCATGAGCAACCTGCTCTGGGTCACTCTGCTTGAGCAGGGGGGGTTAGAGCAGACCATCTTAAGAGGTCTTTTCCAACATCAACTATTTTGCAGTCCTGCTCCTGCCAAAGTGTCACCTCAAACCAAGTCAGAGCTGCTCAAATTACTCTTTATGCTGTCCCCCGTGGCAGATGGATGTATTCATACCTTCCCTTAATCTGGTGATCCCCGTCCAGTACCCCCAGCACCTGTTGTGCAGCCGAGCAGCCTTCAGGCTGCTGGAGCTAGCACAGGGCAGAGACCATCTGGCGACAACCCCTCAGAAACTCAACAAGGCAAACGGGATGTGGGTTGAAGAGCTTTTTCACTGTTACTTCCTTTACTCACAGGTAGTGGTTAGGGATAAGTGCTTGCCTTCTGTACCCAAGGGGTTAGAAGCGTAATTTGTGGAGAACATTTTTGGTATAGAGAAAAGGGAAGTATAGTTCTGCCATTTCCCAAAAAAAAGAGGAAACGCCTTTCAAAGTAAGGGCTGTCCCTAAAAGGGCATGAAGCTTGGAAACCACAAACTGCAGCTAGCTGGCTACTTAACACGTGGCTGGGATGCTTATTGGTACAGGATGATTCTTTGCTGCCTTGACTTGTGATTTTTGCATCTCCTCAAAGGTATCACAAAATGCAAAAAGGATTACAAGCTGCTTTGAAAAAGTCCTGCCCTGTCTTCTCATCCCAGAATCCAGTTAATAGGCTGTGGGTTTCACATATGACAAGACAGATACCTCTGAGCTTATTTCATCAAAAGGAAACTAGTGACTTGGCATCAGTTCGAAAATTTTATTAAAACCATAGGTTTCCATTTCGTACAAAACTGAGGAGCTTTCTTTTTTAAAAAATGTATTACACTGCATTATTTCCGATGTGGTTAAGTGGTTCATTGATAAAAATCTTTCTGAAAGGTATATACAGGATTAATACCACACAACTGTATAAATGCAGAGACTCTCAGTGACTTTAGCAATATATACAAACTACCTTTACACACATAAATATGGTATTTACAGCTAATAAATAACATTCAAAGCTAAATCATGTGTCCTCATGTACAAGAGCCTTCACTATTTGGTGACCAAGTACTGTATGTGTTTGTATTAGATCCTGTATTCAAAGCAGATCTGTTTACAAAAGTTTTGTTTCCAAAGAACCTTAATCTGTCTTAGGAGAAAATTGCAACAAAACGTGAAGTCTGTACGGAGCAAATCACTGTATTTATTTTTAGAAGTCTCAAATGCAGTGGCTCAATACTCGACCCCTCCCTCAGTGACTCATTCTCTCTCTGCTGTAGTTATTGGGTCAGAAAACCCAATGTGAGCAATCCTGGAGTAGTTAATATTCCGACCTATTGCACTGTTTAGAACTTTTGTCCCTACATGTAGCAATGGCCATGGCTACGAAAAGAACCTCTGCATATGCATACACGTGTCAGCTTTGTTTTAAATTTGGAATGATGTTGGAGAATCGCCACCTTTGCACTGTCTTGCACTTGTGGGAAGAGATTAGGGAAATCAGCATCTATAGCTCACATTACCACTTCTCCAAACATCTACTTTCCAGCCTTTCTGCCTCCCCAGTAGTTTGTTTATCCTCTATAAAGCTAAATGAAGGCTACTGAACCTTTCAGGGCCCTAGAAAAATTACATACAAAAAATAAGAGAGCCTTCCATTCACCTATTTTTGGGTACTCACAGCATGTCTAATTCAAGTGTTTCTCAGAGCATTCATTTTTGTGGATTGCAGTCAGGCTCCTTTTGACTGCTCCAGCCTCTGCTCCTTGCTGCATCGCACCTCTCGTCAGAAAACTGAGCACCTCCGGGCGTCTAGCACAAGTACTGTGCCACAGCCCAGCAACAAAGAGAGGTTGGTCACTGGAAATGAGATTTCCAGTATAGGGGAGCGTGACCACAGCTTGTCGGCTGTCAGGTTGATTCAGGACCAGACCTGATACAGCTGCCACTCAGCTGCATGACTGACGTTCAGTGTCAAAGAGCAGAACAACTGTCACGGTTTTAGCATCAGGGATGCAAGCAAGGTGAAAAGTCCATTTCCTGCAGTTTCCAGTAGCTTGATTCCTTTGCAGTTCTTAACTCAGTGCAGTGTTGGAGGATAGATGGTTTCATTTTTTAAGAGATGAAAGCACGGATGAAAAGCACAATATCTGCATAGGACACTGGTATTGCTGTCTTGTCCTACAACAGGATATTTATTGCAGGATAAGCTGCATAATAACATATAGCTTAACAGATCATACCTATTGCTAAGCAGCACTGGCATCTATCCCCAATATAACACATTCATAACCACAAACTAAGAAATTTATCCCCATATTCATTCAGTCCCTGACACCTTTAAGTAAAATCTTTACAGAAAGGAAAGGTGTTTTTTTCACATAAAAAGTCTACTCATCTGCTAAACACACACTTGAAGACAATAAGATCTGGCCATTGAACTGTCAGAAAATTCAGTTAGCCAAGCCAGGGGGGGGAAAAAAAAAAAAAAAACACACACACACACACACACACACACACACACACACAACTGTTCAGTTTCAGAAGACTCCTGAAATACTATACCAGTTAAGAAAGAAAAGACAGGTACAGGGCTTTGTTTCTTTTCAATAAATACTAGAAAATTGCCATAGAGAATTGGATACCAAGAAATCTTGTCACAAGGCACTATGATTAAGCAAAATTACTTATTCCTTCCCAGTACTCAAGCTTTTGGCAAGTTGTTTTGGGGAATTTCTTTTTGTTTTTTACTATCTGGATAATGTGTCTTTATGGTTAGTAACAACTTTCTGTGTGCTGAGACTTCCTTACAAGAAGTCTCCTAGAATAGCTAGGAATAGCAGGCAAAAAAGCCAACAGCAGATAAATACTTCTATATATTTGGTTCTGAACACCCAGTTCACAGGGATGAATGGACTCTCCTCCTGTCCAGTGTGGAAAATCTCCATTCTTGTCACTTCTAAGCAGATTCATGAGCAGAATTTTCTTTAGAGGCTTTCTTGGCACTGCAGGGGGAAAAAAAAAAAATAGGTAAGGTAAACAAGAAGATAAGGTACTTGTTCCTTTTTGTCTTATTTTTGAGACTTAAGAGTACAAAAATATGAGAAGATAAACTAAATGCTTGGGCTTTCAGTAGCTGCTGCTTGATATAACTTGGGCTTGATTTCACAGGTATACTGTACATACGCAGAGAGGGCTCAAGGCCTTATCAGGTCATTGCCCTGGAGTGAAGGTCAGCACGCGTGCCTTTTTATGCAGAGCTAGATCTCAGTTTGTAAGTGTCCCCACGAGACCTTTCACCCATAGCAACTGCACTAAAATAAATATAACCACTTCTCCAGCTCAAACCTTAGTGGATAAAGTCCAAACAAAGCTGGACCATTTTTGAAAGTTTAATATTTTTTTTCCTGATCCAGAGTAAACAGATAAGAAAAAGCCATCAAGGGCTATTAAACACACAGATGTAATCTCCGATGCAAATCTGAGATGTAAATCTCAGGAAGTCAGTCACCTGGAGGTTGCCAGCAGCAAACAGTATACTGGGCAGAATACCTGTGTATGCCTAATCAGCGTCTGTACTACCCTCCAAATCTGCTGCTGGCCAGAGGGGAAAAGAGACTCTGGATTGACTCAGCATAGATATTTGGATGTTCTTGAATTAGGGGTAAATGTTGGTCAGCTTTAGATAGAGGCCAAGTTAGGAGCGCCTTGTTCGTAAACCCTCTATAACAATCATTTATGCTTGGCCACTGTGTGAACATGAGAGGCAGTATTTGCTTTGCAGAGGTGCAATCAACCACACAAGGAGAGAACCAAATTCATGGCTTTCAAGCTGTCAAAAGCAGACCCCAAGTTAGTCTGAGTTGTAATGCTCCCCAAATCTTCAGCAGAGTAGTATACCAGTCAACCAATATTGGGAGGTTTTATGAAATTCTCCAAAGATTCCTTCCAACGTTCAGTTTCCCACAACCCTTCACCAATACTGCTTGTGCATACCCTCCTCTCTTCCTGTTGACTGGCTGCTCCAGGCATTTCACAAATATTGCTGCTTCTTCTCCTTTACTGAGATGTGAGATGCCATCTCGGGAACAGAACACCACCCTGTGGAATAAACATTGAACAATGACGCGAGCGAGTCAGACGTGTCCTTTTAACTACAGGAACAGAACCGATGCTTGGAGGCAGCCTTTATGCTTTTGTCATGAGGGATGCTACTACCTTAAGTGCCTCAAGCGCCAAATCACTGTGAGAAAATGACTTTTCTAAAAAGCAGAAAACGTGGATTTTGTGAGGGAAGAATCACAGCGCCAGGAAAAAAAAAAACTGGTAAGTGCACTAAGCGCTGACCTAAAATTTCAGGCATAACTTTCTTTGGTCCTTTGCATCAAACCTCCCAGTGGCTGAGACAACAGAGCCTCTGGCACAAAGTCTCTTGGATCTTTGTTTACATCAGCCCTCGTGTGACTTGCTTCAGGTGAATGATCTTGGAAGACAGCCTTGCTCCCCCGAATGTTTGCAAACACATTAGGCTGCCAATTCCAGCAAACCTCAGCGGCTGCTTTTATACTTATCAGTACTTTCCCCACCCCTATGTTTGTTCACTCTGATAACTGTCTTTTTGATGAAGCGGCTGCCTTGTTTATTCAAAGAAGGAACATATTATCCACAATGCTGTGCATGGGACACGAATATTCTCTAGTCTGGACCCATTTTCTGCCAACAGTTTTCATGCCTCATGAATGTGAATCTTTCCAAAGATTCAGGTGAAGAACAGTCCTGTTCAGGCTTTGAGTACTGTTTTAGCATTCATATATTGGCAATGTCTTATAGGCCTTCCACAGAGTCATGTGTTTCTGTTTCCACTGACTGTTCAGGGATTCCCAGCTCCAAGGAATTCCAGGTTAACGAAGCAGTCATTTCCTGTGCAAGTACAGTTTTGAGAAGGAGACTTTCAGAAACCTTTCAAGCATGTTCTCTGCAAGAAAACTCGCACAAATGTCCAGCAAGAGAAAGGAGGGAGCAACTGCAAACACGATCAAAACTTCTAGTTCGCGGAGGTCCTCTCCTGCATATTATAACTAGCCTGAAATGCATGAGACAGTGGGACGCAAATGATTCCTGTGGAAGTAAAATTACAGACTGCAGATCCCCAGGGAACAAAGCAACTGTAAACCCAGTTGCGGTAAATGTAAATATAGGTTTGGTGCCACTGAAGCCCTGACTATCAGTGCTGCACCCATTTGTAATTGCTTTCCATGTTTTATCCCACCCTCTCAGGAAATATCCGCAGTTAAAACTAATACATTTTATGACAATGAAAACAAGTTACTTTTTCTGGGTTTCTCCTGACTTTACTCTGACCCTCTGGATGTCGAATGTAAAAGGAGTCCACCAGTCAGACCAGCTGAAGAAAGTGTCTTTCTCCCACTGCAGTTTGAGCATAAGCAAGTCACCAATATCCACTTCTGTGTAAATCAGGAAGGAGAACGTCTTGTTTGAGGAAACTTCAGGCCTGTGAGAAGAAAAAAAAGAAACAAAAAGAAGTAGCAATTATTGCAAAGACCATAAGAGCCAATAAGACTAATCAGTAGTCTTAAGAGCGAGCTATGGAAAGACTGGTGGGATGGGGATTACGCAGAAAGAAAACAAAAGGAAACAAAGGGAAAAATTGTGCAAAACAGAAACTCTTCTCTGTATTTCTGGTCAACAGAGCAAGCAGAAAAAAAAAAAAGAAGAAGAAAGTGGTTTTGTAGGGAGAAGAACTTTGGCTAGACACTACGAAAAGCCTTCTGGCAGCAAGAACAGTAAAAGCCCAGGACAGGGTGCAAGGGGTGCCGTCTGTTTGCTGGTGGCTCTCTGGAGGCTGTTAGACAGACACTATACAGGAACAATTTAGGTGGAGAGTCTGCCCTGCTAGAGTGGGAAATGGATTTTGCTGCCTTACAACCCCACGCCCTGCCAGCCCAGCCCACAAGCAAGGAGACACGTAAGCACAGACTTCTTATTTGCAAAGCTGCGAAAGCAAATGGCATCTCTTTACTCAGCTTCTGTGCCAGGACCTTCAAACCCTAATGAAGGGGGTTTGACAACTAATTCCAGGTCACATCCTGATTTTAAGTTGCTTTAACAGAGCTGGAGCATGACACAACCGCTCAGAAAGGGAAAAAACGACAATGACATTGATCAATGACAAGGTCCGACAGATTTCCACAGCTGGAGCTAGAAAGGCAAATTTTGCAACCAGGGCTTTAAACAGATTTGGGCTAGACATAGCAGTGGGGTAGCAAAACACAGCGGGTTTAGTTGCGCTGCAGTGTTTTCTGTTGCTACTCACAGTGTGAAAGCAATGTTCTCACTCTCATCTAGAGTGCCATACAAAGAGATCAGGAAAGGCTGGTTTGTCTTGGTTGTATTTGTCTTCCCAAAGAAATGGATCTTGACCTGGTAATGAAAGACTGGAAGAAGAATATAAAAGAAAAGGGTATTATGGAAAAGCCTCAGGCAAAGAGAGGCTACTGATGACGAAACACTTAAAAAGCCCTGGACAAATCCTAGTTCGGAATATGCCAGCATCACTAAACTGAGGAGGCTTGTGGGTACTCAGGGAAATTTTCTTCCGAGGAAGTAAAATTTAGAACGCAAAGGCATCACAATTAAAAACCTTTGCAACCCTTGTAACTAAACTCAATGTTTAGCTGAGTGGCAACTCAGTAATGATGGTGTCTGCAGTATGGCCTTAAAAACTATTATATATGTGCATGACTTGCACTCTTTGGCTTGAATCAAAAGAGCTGTGCCCTTCTCCTCCTACCTGAGTCTTAGTGAAGTAAATTTGACCTAGTGACACTGCAGATTAAGTTCCAAATGCCAGCCAAACCCTAGCCTTGCATCTGTCCAACTCTGCAAGAATTATCCTCTAATTACTGGTCCCTCACACCGTTCCTCTCTGCTCACAATGCATGCAACAAAGCCACGTGGCATAGTCAAAGCTAGAGAGAAAAGAAAAAATCTAGTTTAGCAGTTACTTCCCTAGCTAAAAGCCTTCCAGTTTTGGCACTGTCCTTCTCAGACCTACCACTGTGGCAGCGGAAATCAACAAGTGCTGTGAGATTTTAACATAAGGGATGGTGCTTCTCTGGCAGAGGCAGTCTGAAGGGCATAAGTCTGACGACTGCACATGTTTAACTTACTCATCAGGCTGAGCTTTACTGATTGTTTTCCCAGCAGCAGGAAAAGCTCATTGGGAGGGGAAAAGTACCGGAAAAATTCACAAGATTCAATTGTTCCAAGTAACTGTCCTGGCTGCACAGTACATCATCTTCTCATATGGTCACTTAGAAGATTTTTTGCAAAATATCTCCCTTTTAATCTTCTACACAATAAATCCCACACTATGAATAAAGTCACGCTGCTCATCAAATGCTGCGATTTTAACTGCTCTTAAAGGCAAAATGCAGGTGAGTTGCAGCCCTGCTCTCTCCAGGCACCAAAGAAGTAATACTATCATCCGGGGCAGGCACCCACTCCTACACACAGCTGAGCAAAACTACCACTCTTGCTCACCAGTAAGCAGGCAGGACCTACCTTTATAGGGCATCTGCGCACGAGTCTTCAAGTACATTTTGCTGTTTCTCTTCGTTCTCACTCTGTTGACCTTATAACCCAAATTGTTGCAACGGTTCTTCCGGCAGCTCAGGCAGAGGCCCTTCTCAAAGGCCTCCTTCGTGTTGCAGCGGTAGGCCATGCTTGGCTTTTCTTCGTAGAGGAGGGAGTCAATGAAGAGGTGAATGGATCGCTCGTGAGAACATTTCACTAGCTGATCCACATCTTCAAAGAAACAAAATATATACATTAATACTTTATTCACACACACATATATATGTATGTGTGTGTGTGTGTATGTATGTATATATGGGTATTTATGTATGTAAAAGCAATGATACAAAACTGCTAGCAGTGCCATCAACAGGCAGAAACCTCTACTCCAAAGCTGGGCTTTACAAGGAAACTTTCAAAAGCACCTAGAAGAACAACAAACTTTTGTGCCTCTCACAAGGATCTTCGCTCGTATGAAGGCCACATGCTACTGAAGATTTCCCCTTAGATGTTACACTGCTTGCTTCAGAGTAGTCTTACCGGCAAAGCCTTTTTCTGCAATCAGACGAAGAGCCTCTCCTAAGTTGCAACCCGGCTGGAAACCTCCGCCGTTAGGATAAATGTCGATGTGCCCGACCGGCTTCTGGATCCCAATGCTGCGATCGGGAGAGCCCCGAGTGTAGGTGTGTAGGACATCCACAAAGTCCGCGTCGTCCGGGGAGAGGCGGGTGGGGGCATCAGCATACTCAAAGGTGGGACCAGCAGGATCCAGTCCTTCATGAGGAAAGCACAAGAAAATGACTGAGATGGCAGCCTGCCAAAACACTGCCAGTGGTAACAAACAGCAAACTCACTTTTGGGCTGGAGATTTTTTTTTCGTGTTGTCACTACAGTGGGCTCATTTAAATAACATTCATAAGTGAAGGAGGATCAAACACCCTAACTTGAAATGCTGTCACTTTTTTAAGAAAAGGTATATGTAAACGTACGTAAAAAAGCACAGATGACTTCTCCATAGCAGTAGTGTTTACAGTGGTTGGGAGAAACTAGCTAGTAAATATTTTCTCAGCGCTTTCCTCTCTTGTCAAGAGACAGAGAAAGTTAAAAATTTCTATTCGAAGTGTTTGAAGTGCGGAAAATGCCTTGCTGCTAGCCCCCTGCCAGGGGGACAAGTGGGAAACAAAAAATGAGAGTTTCACTGTCTGCATGCCTAAGGGGAAGGGGGATATTATGGTACACCGGGGATATTGTGGTACACTTCCAAGTTGCCGCAATACTGTTGCATCAAAAACATTCACAGCTATTCTGCCAGGAAATGAGAACTTCCATTCACAAAACAGGCACAAGCAGCTTCTGTCACTGCAGGATCTCCTACAGCAAGACAACGCGCTTGGGACACGGCGGCCCGCAGAGCTGTCCCCACGGGATGTGTCCTCCTTGCAGCACCAGGGACCGGTGCCCAGGCGAGCCCACCCCAGGGTGCCTGCCCACCCACCCCCTGTGCCCACCCTGACCTCTGCTAGGAGGACTTCAGGGACCCATCCCCGCGCCCAAGGGCTGGGCTGCCTTCCCAGGGAAATGCCTGTCCTGGGCATTGAGCGGTATAACAGAGCACTGTCAGTATTTGAGTGATGTGGGGCTGCAACTCTTAGGCTCCAACAGATCAAAACAGGATACTTCCAGCTGGTCTTACGCTGCCCCAGCAGGTGTTGCTGCCCCAGGGCAAAGGTAACCCAAGAGCTGGGGCACCAGCTCCAGCAGCACTGCTGTTTCCAGACTAGCCCAGCAGCATGTGTGCGTTCACACCAGTTTGCAGCGTGGCATGAGCTACCTTGCATGCAGCTCAGCTGCAGCTCATCTAGCACGCCACCGCATCCAGCACAGTACTCTACCTCTGTAAGCAGACATTTAAGCATGCACAGAAATACAGCAAGCACACGGATGCTTCCCACCCCTTCCCAATGCTCTCCCAGTATTGTTTCAGCCTAGGTTGCTTGAGTCTGTTACGATTTATTCATTTAGTAACCTGCAGCGGGTCTCTTCTGGCTACCTGTCCAGTCGGCCTTTGAGCCGGTATAAACTTCTTGCATCCACAGCGTCCACTGGTAATGAGCTCAGCAGGTACTACACCAACTGCAGGAGGATCCCCTCCTGTTGGCTTGGGCCAGCCCCCACCAGCAGCGAGGGATGGCTTCTGGCTCAAGAAGAGCTAGCTGAAGCTCTTGTGCTGCAAGAGATGGCAGCCTTCTCCAAGTCATGGATTTGGTCGGCCTCTGTCACCTCCTCCTAGCTAGTCTCTCTTCAAGGCCAATGAATCCCCATCTATTCACTCATTGCTTGTACGGAAGGAGACTGAGATTTCTCACCCGCTGCTTCTGTTGCTCTGCTCTCAACCTTTTCCCGTTGTACTGTGCAAACATGACCAATCCCACCAATTCAAGGACGAATGAACACATAGCCCAAGCACAGCAGACAAGCAACAGTTATGTGGGTCATCTCTCCAAGGAAAGTGATATTTCAGCTTCCTGAAGGAAGAGACAGGACCCTCCACTCTCCACAACCTCAGGTTTTCTTACCAGTAATTCTGTTCACCTTCTTCTTAGTCAGACTCCCAGCAATCCCAGCAGCATGAGCACCCAGACTGTACCCCAGCAAGTGGATGTTGTTGAGAGGGTAACTGATTTCCTCCTGGAGGAGAAAGCTTTGTTTGAAGTCTGAAGTCAAATCACACAGCATCAGAACAGGGGGGTGAGGGGAGGGATGTTATCTGAAAAACTGACATTTCCCTTTGAACCATAAGCAGTAACACAGAAAAAAAAAAAAAAACCACTAAATACAACTAAAATCACTTCATTCTGTTTTAGCTAATTTGAGTTAACTAGCTTAGGATAAAAATCTAAGCAGAAATGAATGCAGAATTAGGGACAGAACACAGGACACATCTCCACGAATACTTTTTTCCCCTAAATCAATGAAGAAGTAGTAGTGTATTATATCAAAGGTTTTCAGCTTTCCTTCGACACACACCAATTTCTGAATCCCCTAAATATTTCCCAAAGGCAGGGCACGTTTCTAAGAGTTTCCCACGTGCTGGCTGCTGCATAATCTATAGGAACCTATCTGTCATAACTACCTCTCACAGAGACTTTAGAAATAGTCTGTGGACCCAGAGGGCTCCCTGGACCACAAGGTGAAAATCTCCGCACTGTAATATAGAAGGTCTCCTTGTGTGGAGATAGCCACAGAGGTAAAGCCAGGATTTTATCAGTTCAGTAAAGCACTGACTATGACAGCTCAACCCCATCTATCCAACGGGAGACTATTAACATAGCGGCACCGATGCTGCTTTGTCTCTTAGGACCTTGTATACAAGGTGCAGCACACGTGACTGCAGGCCTTACCTCCATCCAGTCAATAAACATAGCGACATCCTTTCCCACCAGCTTAGTGTACGCAGCAGACACTGGGTAGTGCTGCTGAGCCCGAGTTAGCCAGTCAACCACGATGACGTTTGAGTCGGGTTCCCTCTTGTACAGAGCATCCACCAACTTTGGGACCCAACTTTCATACATCCCTGTCACCTGGTTAGAAAAAAAGAGGTTCATAACGTTATTGGTGGCAAACAGACACAGCTGCAGAGATATCTAACAGCGTCCCTCAGGAGCGCAGTCAAACGTAACTCCTAGAAGGGAGATTCCTGCCCTTTCTTCTTACCGTCCACCCATGGATCACCACAAAGGTTTTACTGGTGTAGTTGAAGTTGCAGTGTGCCAGGGTTTCCACCTGCCCAGGAACCAGGTAGCAGGCATCCTCATCAGGCTCAGCAGCCGTCCGTAAGGAAAACTTGCTCTCGATTCCCTGAAAATTCTTCTCAGCGTCTGCAGAGCAAGACCATAGGAAACAGAAACCAGTGCTTTAGGAGTATTAAGGCAAACAGTTCTGCTGTAGGAAGGCTAACAGGAAGTAAAAGATAGTCACAGGCATTAGGTTGGAGAGAGATCAAAACCAGTCAAGAAATGGGCACTTGGTTTCCATTTACCTCAGTGCTCCTTTTGCACCACAATGGCTACGTACAAGGGCAGTCTGGGTGAAAGCTGCTCCCACCTGAAGGTCCTAACCCTGCTAAAACAGGGGCAGTCTGGTCAGCTATCAGATCTGTACAAGTTCATTTCAGGAGTCAGTATTCTCTCAGTTGTATTATTAATAGGAAACCTATGACTTACCACAGTGGTGGAGAAAACGGTACAAGAGAGTCATAGCATACGTGGGAAAGCAACAAGCTCCTACCACGCTATCATATATTTTGGAGGCGCACCTTCCACATCACTTCATCCCTAATAGTTCTTCAACAAGGCTCTTTTTAGCACCCAGTAGTTGCAGCCCGTTAGGAGTAAGAGCTGTAAACTCACTGTTGTCTTACAAAGCACAAGTATTAGACTTCGCACCAACAGTGAAAAGCAGTGGGTGAGAATACCAAACACACTTTAAGGGAACTTAGTCGAGCTAGCGAAGTAGAAATCTGTATTTTGAAGGCAGTGTTATTTCAGATCATCTGATAACCAGGTTTTCAGGAGAATCTTCCTCTGTCTGAAGACATTTTGAATCTGGAGCGGAGGAAGATTAGGTGCTGGTAGCAACACAGCACGTGATGGGCCATGCCTGAAAGGATCACTTCTTTCTCCCAGCACTCTCCCTCCAGTTTCCGGACTCAAAACATAAATTGCTCTTTTTGTTCCTGACAAGGCAGAAGAGTGACTTTAGATTTTATGCTTGCTGACTCCTTTGTCCGGAAGGAAACTTAAATGCCTCCTCTTTTTAGGTCTGATTCAACACCTAAGCACCTCTCTTCAGCAGACCCTGTCATTAATTGTGGACTTAAGCGTACACTCCAATGCTTTTCTGAAACCAGGACCTACTTGCGCAGCTTCCACTTAGCAAATATTGACTGCCTGTTTTCCAAGTGAGGCTGAACCCAGGCCAACTCTGTCCTGCTCAGTGTCATTTCCTGGCATCATACCCCACGGTTTCACAAAGCTGCTAAGGGCACATTAATGAATGGCTCAGAGCCATCACAGGCAATGCAAAGGTACAAGATGAGGTCCTCCTGACAGACACACAAAACATTTCTGCTCCCCTTCTTTTTCCCATTGCAAAAGAGGCTTTTGTGATACCTGGTATATCCGTATTTCTCCATAAAGCTGTGCTGCATCACTTGGAGGCTACTCCGACAGTGAATTATTCATTGTTTTCTAAAACTTTGTCTTCTGGGCTCAGTCAAATTACACAGGAGGAAAGACCTATTTCTGCAGCCTTCAGCTCACAGCAGAAGCTGTCTGATAGTTCTCCCTGCCTTTCCACAGGAAAAAAAAAAACCAAGCTGTGCATTTAATTAAGACAGAGTGAGAGGGTCTGCCATGGGGGATGCAGGCTGCAAGCGCTTGGGTGCAGACCTTGGAGTCAGAGCAGGCATCTGAAATCAGCTGCTTAACGTTGCCCGAGCCCATCAGGACTCTCCACCCGCTGCAAGTGAAGCCTGTGCACAGACATAACGCGAACTGCTCACTGAGCGCAGTGCTCAGCCCTGGGTGCGACCTTGACTGCACCAGGGTGGCTGGCTAATCCAGGATAATCATGCTGCGGGCCCCCCTCCCCGCCTCCTCTCCCCCAGGAGCAGATGCAGTTTACAACATCACTAAAATATATATATTTTTTTCCTCCAAATCAGTAGAAAGTGAAAATAAGACTTTACGTACTGAAAATGAACAAATCTGCTATACGAACACAATTTGCTTGCCCTGCGACTGATCCTAGCCCTAGGTTTTTCACAGAAGAAGTTCTCCCTTTTTCGTATTTTTTGTGTTCAAAATGTCACCTCTTCACCAACTAAGAGAGCGCAAAACCCCTTTCTGAAACGATTAGCTGTTGGTTAAATAGCCACTGTTTAACTTTCACTCAGCAGTGAATCTGTAAAACCTTAAAAATACCAAGAACAGCTTTCAACTGCAGTGTGTACAGTACCAGGACTTTCAGTTATGTATATTTCTGTCCCATACAGGAAGGCAAACAAGAAGAGTCCACCTGCTCACTAGTTATACTACTTCCTCTCATATTTAGGGATCATTTCCCTTCTCAATTAAACCTATTTGATATTCATCAAAAATCCAAAATATTATTTGATATTTATCTTATTGCATGTGTTGAGTCACAAATACACACTGTAATGTGCACAAATCTCAAAGTGTATCTCCCAGTTTGTCACAAGCTTATTTCCCCAAATCTATGCTTTAAATCATATGTTACTGATGAGGAGAGTTTGCAGCCTAACAGCATCTTCCAGTGGAGAAGTGCAAAGTGCTTCACCAGTATTAATATGCTTCAGTCTCATAAAAACTTTGGGATGGATTTAGGGCACAGGAGCTCTTGAGCTAGCACTGAAATGCAGGCATCCCTGGTAAAGCAGCAGCTGCAAAGCAGCAGCCCGTGAGTTAGGGAAATGGCAGAAGGCCACCTGCTCAGCTAGCTATGCTGTAGGAGGAATTAGAGAGTCAGAAGAAATTATGATTAGCATCTTTTATGCCCGTAAAAAGCGTCATAGTGTCTGATGACCACCCATGTTCAATTCCCAGCAGCAAGATACCTTCCGGATGAATGAAGAGTAAACGTGCTGGGGTTTGTCACTAATACTACTTCCTAGCGTTATGTGTTATTTAAGAAGTCGTCCTCAAAAATTTTCCTATGTTTAGCTTTGCAAATTCTGGCTGGGTCACAGTACAAGATAATTCATTTGTACCTCACATTGTAAAATTAGGATGTGCTGCATGCAATACCACCTAGTAGCCTACTATTTGCAGATTTAACTTTAGACATATCATACAGAGATAAGTAATAAAACAGATGCACTTGCCACGCATACATATTGATATCTAAATATACCATGCTTTAAAACTGCAGCAGCATATCCCTTCAGAAGGCTAGCATTTGCCACTTCTACTTTTGTACCTTATAAGCAGCGTCCTGGTCTCATTAAAAAAATAATCGAGATCCAGACTGTGTCATACATAGGCTTTTGTCACAGACCTTTTCCTCATAGATTTAAAATGAGAGGTCTCCCTGAAGCATGTTCCAAGTTTGCCAGGCAAACATTATGGCAGTGGGTTTCATTCCCCCAGTCTCACACAAGGCCAAAGAAATGCCGAGACCGTCTACACACACACTCACCTCTGGTTAACTAAACATGTGTTTTAACACAAATTAGTCAAACCAGTGCAAATCCACAGGTGGAGAGTCTTCAGCATGTTTCCAAATGGTGGACACTAACGTAGCAGAATTGGCTTCAGACTTGACATAATGTAGATGGATAGAAATCATGTATAAAGGAAACTATGTGCATCTATATTGAGACGTCGAAGTAGTTGTAGCGAAAAGAAGGAAACTCCATTTCTAAACAACACCTTGAAGAGAAACAGATCTTGAAGTTTAAATGCACAGGCAAAACAAATGTGTGCTTTTGCTAAAAATTACACTTTCCAGAGCTTAGTTCAGCAGAGGCATTAAGGCATGTACTCTGTGTTGCAAAAACTTCCAGGCACACAGTTGCAAATACAGCCCCTGTTGTGAAATAAAGTTTTCTGGCCATTGCTATGTGTTTAGGGCTGACAAAGTGGCCTATAAAGGGATATCCAGCTAGCTAGGGAGTTGGAAAAAATAGAATGAAGAATTAAGCCAGCAATTTCAGGCTGGAGCTGGCTTTTCTGACAGCATGCAGGCACTGTGGCCAAATTCTATCATTTTATCAGGCTCTGCAAACTTTGTGATGCTTTTCGTAAACCTCCACTTACTCTCAACTTTAATCTTTTAAAAAAGCTGTCCTGTAATTCAAGATATGCTGCAAAATCTTGAAACTCTGAAGAAAGTGCAAATAAAATGCTTAGAATCTGAGACAATTCAGTAGTTGAATTTTCCTATTTTAACCACATTACACTCTGCTTTGGACCTGCAGTTTGTGAAATTCCATTAAATCAGACTCCTACCAATTTGCAAAGAACCCCACTGACTTTAGGCATTCTGACACAGTGTAAATGCAAGTTTACACCCTAATCAAGAAGAGAATTCAACTTCAAATTTCCTTCATGGGAAATCTAAGACAGTCTTGCAGTTGATTTTCATGAAGGAAACTTTATCACTAGTCAGCTGGGTGGAGAACTTGGATTCTGAGGAATAACAGCATCTGGAATATCAAGCAAAAATTAAACTGCCAGCCTCAGACACAGGCGGCCAAAAATCATAATAATGCAGTTGCCAAAATCAGTGCATGTGAACTGTGAATTTAACAGGGAAACTTTGACAAACAACAATTTCCTCATGTTATTTACACAAAAATGAAAATACTATCAGCTAGGTGCAACAAACATCAGAAATTAGACTGCTTGCCCATGTAAATGGAAGTCCACACACACACACACACAGAGCCACAGAGGCACATATCTGCACATCAAGTCAAACATTTACAGAAACAGCTGGAGTTAACTGAAATAGCTTGTCCTCCAGATGATAACCGGCACTATGGCAAGGCATCAGTCGTACTGAATTCCTGCATGGCGTCTCAAGCAAACTCAGACAGCTGTAATAAAGGGACTGTATCACAGAAGGTGTTACTGTTTAATTTGATATTTTCTATAAACTGAAATCAGACTTCTGTGTTGCAATCCCATAAAACCTACCCCATAAGTCAGGTTATTGTTTAACTTTGCTGTGACAGAAATTCGACTTCCAGTTTATTTATGTCTTCCTTAACAGCAGAGCTCTGAGCCCAAGTTCTCCCACATTTCCCAGGCAGAGCCAGTGGAAAGACCAGCACCTCTGAAAAGCCACGGGCCCTAAGCTTAGGCGCTGAGTGGGGACCTGCCTGCTCAAGCCCCGCAGCTGGTGGTGTGAGGCAAACCCCCGCTCTGCCACCGTGCACGTGGGTGCCTGCCCCACGGCCGAGGTGCTCCCTGTCCAGCAGATGCTTACTCAGCTGCAGCTGGGAGGCTTGTAACTCAATCAATTTAGTAGCAGAGCTCTTGCCATCCATCAGTCCCTCTGGGGTATCTGGAATTAGCCCAAGACAAGAAAATACAATCACTGTCAACTTTACAGTACAAAGGAGGCATGAGAAAGCCACACCATGCAAGCACCTAAGAAATTCCTACACCTAAGAAATTCCAGCAAGCTTCCTTATGAGCGCTTATCCTGATGCTACTCTCCAGCACACTTTGGATAGCCTGGATGCCTCACCTCTGCTCGGTCTCAGAAATGCATTGCTGCTGGAAACACCATGCCACAGCTGCTCTGGTAGGTCTATCCCAAACAGCCGTAGCACAAGCTGGCAGCGCACATCACACAACAGTGTAAATCTGGTGTAACCCCTGACTCTGGATTTACACCGGTAAAAATAGAGAACAGAATGCATTCCCAGAAATGTTATCTTTTCCAGGAACACCAATGTTATCTTCACCTAGAAGATTTTTTTAATGTTGTTTATTAAAGACTCTGGATTCCTGGAGGGTTGGGTCATGTATTTTCCATGGTTTCAAAACATCTTTTTACTATGGTGAGCAAGAAATAAGAGTGAGAGTTGAGGCTTAGATAGTTTTAGGACGGTCACACAACCTGTTCTCATACAACCTGTTTCCATGGAGAACTAATACAATCATTAGAAAGGCTCTGTAGCAAAGCAGTTCCTAGAGGGATGAAAGCTTGCTCAGAAAAAGTTATCTCACTTTATGAAACTTAGACACTTTGATGAAAATCACTTTTGATTGCCTCTGATGGCACAAGATAGAATTTAATACGAGAATACATTCCTCTGGCTGTGCCCTAGCACCCCATCCCCTTACTTCTGAATACTTCCCTCCAGCTTCTTTATGCAGAAAGCAAATAACAGAAACATCCACAGTGAAAAAAGCAGCAGACTCTATTTTCCACTTTAGTTTCACTTTGTGGCTATAACAGATACATCCA